GGCCAGAAAAAAAACACGTTATTAAGCCGTTACTCCCCGCTTCTCATAGTGCATATTTCTGCTCTGAGAAGGTTGCAAGTACCTGGTTAGAACCACACAGCCTGTACTCTGGGTTCCTGAGCAAGACCCTTAACCCCACACTAATCCAGGGTGCCGCACAGTGGCGGCCCACTGCTCCCCAAGAGGATGGGTTAAATGCAGATGTAAATTTCTACAGTGTGAGATCAATAAAGTTAAATTACGATGTTGTGATTGATATTAATATAGAGAAATGAAAATGGGTCAAAAACTCTGCCTTGTGGAACACCCCTTTGGACTTATTGCAAGATAAACTGCCTGAGTTTTGCCTAATTTAGCGTGAGGAGTGAGTGGAGGTGAATCCAGACATTGGGTCAGGGTGGGGTTGAGAAAAAAGGTTAACTTTCCAGGTTTTATGATTGATATTTTATCTTTGAAGTCCACTCTTGTTATTTTATCTTTTTCAATCTTTTTATTGTACCGTTTGAGGTCCGTACACGTCAAGTCCTTTACAAAAAGTATTTATCATTATTATGATTGTCAGTACATTTTACAGAAATACATATTATTTGTGTTGGAGCAATGGAAGAGGAGCATTGATCTGAACCCATGGCCCCCCTTTTAAATCACCCTCTGCTGAGGGTGTAGAGCTGATCCACTGTTCAATGGATGGGACTAAAACTGCACCAGTCCTCCCAAAGCAATGGTTCAACAACCTGCTGGATTCTCCAGCTCAGGCTTCATCAGGGAGGCTTAAAGGCTGATTTATACTCAGAAACCAGGTCGTCCGCCCCTTCCAGACACTCTGTGGCACCTCTCAAAAATTGTAGGTGACCGCAGACAGGAGGGAGGCCTCTGATTGGTCAACTCTACATCTGCTCTACTCTATGCATATTTCCTGTCTGGTACTTTACAGGCTTGTTTTTTTTTTTGTATGACCGCCATTGTGGAAAACAACTCGTGAAGATGGACCAGCTAGAAGAGCGAGATGAGCGAGAATGTTGGGACCCATGGATCCCCGCTCTTTTTCACCCTCATGTCCCTTGGTTGTCACACAAACTTGTCCCGAATTCCTCACTGCCTGGGCCGCATGTAGAACCACAGCTAGTTTGTGATTGTCCCTTTTGCTTTGTGGCGTGGAATAACAGCGCAGACCACGCTTTAATATTGGGCATAAGTAAAAAAATATCTGCAAAAAGCTCACTGCAACGGGAGTATAACCAGCCCTTAAGGGCTTGTTGCAGGTATGATGCAGATATTTTTGATTAATGCCCAATTTTGAAGTGTGGTCTGCGCTATGTTGTTCCACGCCACAATGCAAGAGGGACAATCATGATCTAGCTAGGATTGTGGGTGTCCATGTGTCGGTTTGACGAGCTTGTTCGCCGCCAACCCCTCATCCTACGCCAGACGACACACAGTTCACCTGTGAGTGTTTCTGAAAGACTATCCGTGGCGCTGCGAGTTTTGGCTTCGGGTGCAAACCAACAGACCGTCGCACAGAGCTACAAACTAGTGCCCTGTACGGTGTCTGGGATAGTGTCCGAGGTGTGTCAGGCGTTGTGGACGGCACTACAGCCAGAGTTGATGCCATTAGGTACCAAATAGGAAATATACATAGTGTAAAGTGGATGTAGAATTGACCAATCCTCCTTTCTCTCCTCCCTGCGACCCTATCTGCGGCACTGTCTGCAGTCACCTACAATTTTGGCGAGGTGCACCACAGTGTCTGCGTTAACTGCGACACACATGCAGACGACCTGGTTTCTGAGTATAAACCAGGCTTTAGAAATATGATCCACCTGTAGCTGGAACATAGGGGTGTAAATCACATCCATCATGGCGATTCGATTCAGTATCGATTTCATGACCCAACGGTGCAATTATTTTCGATACTCAAGAATACACCACGATATGATTATATTCGATTAATTGGTTGTCTTTTTTTTTTCAACACCTTACAGGCTAGAAAATGAAATTTGAAATAAATCAATGAAAGCTGTAATATCGTTATGCGTTTTTCTTTAGAAACAACAGCAAATAACAGAAGTAGAAAAGTTGTACTCCACCTATTTAAAACCTCCTTCACTGAAAAATAATAATACCCCTGCGTTATAGATTCTGAAAGGCTTTGCTTCAAAAAATCCTGCACAAAATCAGTGCAATGAGTGCAATACAATACCTCGGCTCCAGACGTCCCCGCCCCCTCCACAGATGCTCCTCTGACCGCAGACAATGACGCAGACAGGAGGCCAACTTGTTTTGTTTTAATGACCGAAATTGTGGAAAACAACTCCTGAACTTTGACCTGCTGGAAGAGCCAGGTGCACGAGAACGCTGGGATCCTTTTCCACCTGGAACTCCGCTCTTTTTGGCCCTCATGTCGCTCCGTCGTCGGACTAAACTCACCCCCACTTCCTCTCCGCCTCGGCCGTATCTGGACCCACAGCGTGTAGCGCAGAACACGCTTCAATACTGAGCATAATTTAAAAATGTCTGCATCAAGCTCACTGCAACACACTGCTGTAAAAGTATAACCAGGAAGCGAGGTAGGAGGGCAAAATAGGTTTAGCGCCACCGCAACACAGGAGGGAGAATTACGCCCAGGAGTAAAATGGATAAAAATAGACTGGAGGAGGAAAAAAACATGAATCGATTCTCTTGCGGACGTATCGATGCATCGGATCGTCGGCTGTTGGATCGATGCATCGATATAAAACGATTATTATTTACACCCCTACCCTCTCCTCACCCCAGTCTCTGCTACATGCCTGACTACTGTGCTTTGTCCGACCTGTTACCTAGAGCTTGTTTACCTTGGAAGACTATAGGAGAGGAATTAAAGGCCCCAACAGTGTCTTTGGAATCATCCAGGCACTGAAACCCCTCCACCACATCAAGGTTCAAGGAGGGGACATCTCAGTCTATGGCCTTAGAAGAGCTCTAAGCAGAGAACAAGTCTTCAGATAATCATAATTATATTTAGGAGCCTGACCATTGATTGCTCATAATGTTAAAATGGGTCTAAAGATGCACAGGTAACCAGAACAGGGAGGTAAGAACTGGGCTCAGTGAAATAAATCCATAAATCCATAATCCATTTGATTGAAATTACTTAAAAACAATATTTCACATTAAAAACAGCTTCCAGATATAAAAACAGATGGCAAAATAGGCGCAATAGTAAGAAATGTAAGAATGCAGAAGATGTAATAAATGATATGAGTTAATCTGTGTTACAGTAAGTTCACCTATAATCCAGCACAGACACTGCAGGCGCAGGAAGCCGCATGCCTGAGTCTGTCTAAAGATAACAAAATCTTCTTAGCTGCTCCACTAAAGGTCACTGATTAACAGCTTTCATCACATTTGTTTGTTTGCCACCAGCTGAGCTCTGCCCATAATCCCACATAAAACTATTACAGACTAAACATGCAACACAGAACATGGAAAACCTGGGAGCCTTTAAAATGCAGTTAGCTGGACTCTCAGCGCTTCAAAGTCATTATGTGGAGCTCAAAAGATCAAGTCTGGGCTTTACATCCACGCTTGACATGCAAGCACGGGTCACAGCCACTCTGTTGTTTCAGATACTCTCATATTTTCACTAAAAGGGGAATCCATACTTTCTCCAGAGTTCCTTGACAGAAAGAGATTGAACCACACACCCAAACACATGCTATGCACCTGCAACAGTCTGGTTTCTAAATTGTTTAAGGAAACAAGAAAACCGGAGAACCCAGGCATGCAGCCAAGAACAT